TGAAAAGAGTGACACTATATTTTAGTACTAATAGAATGAATCATTAAAATTAAAAATAATAATAGTATGTAATATATATATATATAATAAACAGGTATTTAATTTATATATATATATATACTTATATATATACTTATATATATTTATATATATTGTCTTTAAATAGAAATGTGTTACAAAGAAAACTATGATGGCTACACATTCCCTGATGCAAGAGTTGGAGAGACTGTAGATTCAGAAGATTTATGTGATAAAAATACAGTGCATTGTAAGTTCAAAGTATTTCTCTTTAATACTCTTTAATACTGTATTTGCATATACATCACCTGACAGTTGCATACCCCACTATTCTAAAAAAGATATATTAACTACCTGTTCCCTGTACCAATTCATTAGAGGCCTAATGAAAAGCCTTTTTCACACAGAAATGCTTTGTGGGACCATTTGTGTATAATACCTCCATGGTCTAACAAATGTCAATATTCCTACAATTAGATCTCCTTCCTCGCGCTACACGAACTTGTGATGGCGATGGATTTAGTGCAGCCAAATGGAACACTCCCGTAATGGCGGACTGCGAAAATGATGTTACAACAGAACAACAGTTAGAACGTCTAAATATGGTGATGGTCAAAATCTTATAGATAGTAACACAGTAATAAGTGTAAATTTGTATCATTAATAATAAAAAATAAGAATTATTTTACGTATTATTGATAATAATATGGCATTATTGATAACAATGAAGAACAACAACGAAAATGAAGTTGATAAAACACTCACTTCAGCAGTTAAAATTATTGCTGAGGTCACTCGATCGGTTTAGATCAGGATCAAGTTCGTAGGTTTATTATGATGTGTGTGTCCTGTGTAACATCTGATATTTTTTAAACATGTTTTGTCATTTTGTTGATTCTTGTTTGTTTAGATAAATATCACCATAGATAATGTTGAAGACGTAAGCAACAGTGTACAAGAGATTACAAGTAATACTGAAGAAATTACTGTGGAAGCTTTAGAATATACTGCTGATATATTGACCGATATTCTCCAAACAAATTCAAATTCTTCTGAGGTATTTTCAGGAATAATA